GGTGGTAGGAACACCATTAGCCTCACTAAGATTAGACTTGACCAGGAGATCTTTTAGATATTTTGTCTGAGACAAAACAGGGATCCATCCTTTAAGTGAGATACCTCAATACCCAGAAAGTACTCCAATTCTCCTAGTTGTTTAAGTGCAAACTGAGCATGCAGTTTATTGACCAGTTCCTGAATATGCTGTGCAGAATTTCCAGTTACAATTATATCATCCATATATACTAACATAATGATATCCACATATCCAATTGTGAGATATGCCACCTCTTGGAGATAGCTATAGTGAGCACAATTCTAACAATTACAGGCTTAATCACAAGTGAGAATGTCTTAGTAAAATCAAAGCCCTGTTGCTGGTGGAAACCCTTGGTAACTAGTCTTGCTTTGTACTTGTTAAGGGCTCCATCAGGGTTTTGTTTTACCTTGAACACCCATTTGTTCCCTATGGCCTTCCTATGAGGAGGCAAACTGGTTAAAGTCCAGGTGATGTTTTTCAAGAGAGCCTGATATTCATCAGCCATAGAAACTTTCCAACGGGGATATTTTAGGGAAGCTTTATAAGATGTGGGCTCCAGTGCAATGAGAATATGGGTGGGATGTTGTCTGGGTTGTACTATGCCATTCTTCCTCCTAGTGGTCATAGGATGGACATTGTTAGGGTGTAAAGGTGGCAAAGAAGAATTATCTGCAGGGACATCAGAAGCAGACAAATTTGATGCAGATCCAGAGACAGAGGGCTCAGATATAGGTGCTAGAGAGTTAGAACTAGAGATGACTGGAGTGTTGTTGTTGGTCTGAGCATGTGATATGGGACTAGAAAGAGAAGCTGGCTCAGGGCTGATAGAAACTGAGGGATGAAGACTGCTGGGACCCTGATGGAAGTGAGGAGGATGTGAGATTTGAGAGAGACTGATGGGAAATGGTGGGGATACAGGGATAGAAGAAACAGAAGGAGCTTCTGCAGTCACACTCTTGGCATAGGGAAACCTAGCTTCATTAAACACTACATCTTTAGAAATGTAGGTTCTACCATTGGAATCTAGCCACTTGTACCCTTTGTGATTGGAAGAATATCCCAGGAAAGTGCATTCTTGTGAGTGAAAATTGAACTTATTGGTAGAATAAGGTCTGAGGTAAGGGTAGTAGGCACACCCAAAAACCTTGAGAAACCTGTAATCAGGGGCACATCCATACATCCTGAAATAGGGATATTTCATGGCTAGAAGAGGGGTGTGCATTCTGTTGATTAGATAAGTGGCAGTGAGGCATACATGATCCCAGAATTGCAAGGGAAGACTTGCTTGAGACAACAAAGTCAGCCCTGTTTCAACAACATGCTTGTGCTTCCTTTCCACAGTGCCATTTTGATGATAGGTGTGAGGGCAAGCAAGTCTGTGTGCAATGCCCTTGGTGAGAAATAACTTGGTGAGAGACTGAAACTCTCCTCGACCATTAGTCTGAACTGATTTTATAGCAGTTCTAAACTGTACCTCTACAGCAGTGATGAAGTTTGTGATGGTGTGCAATACATCAGACTTTAACTTGAGAGGGAACATCCATGTATATTTAGAAAAAGCATCTACACAAGTCAGCAAGTATTTATATCCACATGTTGAAGTCATAGGAGTTGGACCCCATACATCCAAAAAGAGTAAATCAAAAGATTGATTATAAGTTGTGTGTGAAAGTGTACTAGGCAGCCTATGCACTTTTCCTAGGCAACAGGGAACACCGAAATCCAAGGGAGACTTGTGTGGCATCGGAACATTGAGAGATTGCAGAGTTGACTTGAGCACTTCATGGTGAGGATGCCCCATCCTATTGTGCCATAAGTTGTAAGTAGATGCTGAAGTAGAAATTGAACCACTAGTGATATGATTTATTGAAGGCAAGGGTTGGAAAAGATCAAAGGAGTAAAGACCATCTTTATTCACCACACCCTGCAACAACACTTCATTGGCCTGTGTTTTGAAAAAACACCTGTCAGCATGGAACTCAAAATAAACACAGTTATCCTTAGCAAACTTGTTGACAGACACGAGATTCTTAGTGATAGATGGCACGAGTAATATGTGATTGAGTGTAAGAGTGGTGTGTGTGTGTGTGCAGAGGTGAGACAAAGGTAGTTGAGCCAATAGAAGTTATAGGGAGTCCTTGCCCATTTCCAAGCAAGACCTGAACAGTACCAGGGAGTGTCATACTTTCAGACATATAGGCAGGATTGTTGGTAACATGGTGAGTTACTCCTGAATCAGGATACCAAACTTGAGAAAGTTAACCAACAGCAGTTGCAGTCGCATCTGTACCTGTACCAGTGAAATAAGCTTGTGGTTGTTGTGTTGGTTTTGCAGGAAACCCTGGTGGTGGTCCTCTTAGAGCTGGTGTAAGCCACTGGTTAGGAGTAGGAGCAGTCCACTGTGATTGAGCAGGAATAGGCATAGCTGAAGCACTTTGAGTCCACTGGTTCCAGTTCTGATACTGAGGGTGTGACACCTGAGCTTGTGACCACATGTTAGGCGTCATTATTGTGTGTTTGTGATAGCACACACTAGCATCATGTCCTATCTTATGACAAATCTGACACTGCACCTTGTATCGTCCACCAGAACCGCCACCACTGCCCCTGTAGGCTCCACGTCCACCACGAAAACCTCCACGTCAATCACCATAGCCAGTCACAGGACCATATGTAGTTGAACTGAAGCATCTTGAGCAGTCTGTGTCGCATCTACAGTCACAGGAGGTGTAGCCTGAGCTACATTGACAGAAATAGGTTCAGCAACCACACTCTTCTTAGTCTTCTCTAGTTTCACTTCATGAGAAAGAAGCATAAATTCAGCTTCAATGATAGGAAAGAGATGAGGCATGTACTGGATGATTGAAGCTAGGGCGTTGTACTCCTCTGGTAAACCATCAAGAATAACTTCAATTTGATCACGATGCGAAATTAGCTCATCAATTGACTCAAGCACGTCCACAATTCATTGAATACGAGCAAGATACTCTGTAACCGTTTTCTCCCCTTTCGTAATCGATTTGAGCTCCGAACGAAGTTGGCGCGACTTTGCATTTGTGTGCGCGAACATGTATTTGTGAATCTTATCCCAAATCTGATGAGAATGCACACAACGAACAACGCGAGGAAGAACGGAGTCAGACAAAGTGGTGAGAAGCCACGTGAACAAGAGCGAGTCTTGTTTCTCCCAAGAGACATACGCTGGATTTTCCGCATCGTTCTCATGATCTGCTTCAGTGAGATAGCGTTGAGGAACGATAGGACTCACCAGAAGACGATGAAGTTTGTGCGTTCTAATGATCCCTTCGACTTGTTGTTTCCACGAACGAAAGTTGTTCTCATCGAGTTTTAGAGTAATTTGTTGCGCAAACGTCTTGAACGCGTTCTTCACGTTGAGCATCGTCGTCGTCGGCGTTGCACTGATCGTGTTCTCAGACTCACCATCGAAAGTCATGACCAAGGATCGAGCTTAAGCTCTGGATACCATGTTAGAAATGTAGAAACAGTTGAAAGGAAGAAGAAAGAGAAAGAAAGGAAGAGAGAGAAAGTGGATCTGAATGCTAACATAATTGTATATCTTATTACAATAGAGAACAAAACTGAATTATATACTCAGCACAGTGATATTACAATATTACCCTTTCTACTTTTGATGTATATATTCTAATAAAAAGCATTGGAGGAACTTCTAGAAGAAGACCAAAAGGTATTCTTTTAACTATTTAAAATAATTAAATTTTATAAGTGTGAAGATTTCTTAAAAAGTTTGTAATTTTCAATAGTTCTTTTAATTAAAAAGTTTTTGATTTGATCTCTACACTTAATTTAAATATTTTGAACTAAAAAGTTTTTATTTGTATTGTTAAACTTTAGTTTAGAATACCCACAAAATTTAACTAACGTGACCTTTAAACAAGCTTTAGTCATGCTGTTTAAGTTTTAAAAGATTTTAAGCCTCTGATTGGAGCTTCAAAAATATGTAAGATTTTAAGGATTTTGTTAATTTCTTTTTAATCAGAAATCTAACAACAGGCTGTTGTTAATTACAAGGACATATATAATTATATATTTTGAGCAGAAACTTACTTAAAAATCTTTAACAAATAGTACATCACACTAAAAAATCGATGACATGCTAAATATTGCACTTGAACATATGTGTTCACACAAAGTACAAATTCTACATCTATAATTTATATATAAACTTTCTTTCTTTGGAAAATTCTTTGTAATAAGTTATCTATATATATGTAATTTTAGTTTTAACAACTAACTCTTATAATTTTACTTTTATAATGAAGGATTTAAATATATATTTCTTTATTTGGAAAATTCTTTGTAACAAATTATCAGATATATATATATATATATATATATATATATATATATATATATATATATATATATATATATATATATATATATATATATATATATATATATATATATATATATATATATATATATATATATATATATATATATATATATATAATATAATATATATATAATTTTAGTTTTAACAACTCTTATAATGTTACTTTTATGATGAAGGATTTCATTTTTATAATTGTTTTTTCGATTTGATTTCAAGTTCTTTTATAATACGTTTACTAACTTATATAATATTTTTTTAATGGTTAGTGAATAAAAATATTCTTTTAATGATTTATATACTTTTATAAATAAATAGGCATGTGATAGGGCTTTACTAAAGACTTGCATATTATAGAGCTTTGTAAAAAAAATATTGTTATATCCTTTAAGAAATCATATGTTGAAAAACTAGGCAATGATACACTACAAAAAAATTGACTTGTAGTGACAGATAAAAGTCATCACTAAATGTCCTAATTCCATAGGTAAGACACCGATTTACTTTATTATTTTTTACAGAATAATATTATAAAAATATTAAAATAATATTGAATTATCAAATCTATTAACTTATCCAAATCTACAAATTATCTTAAATATCAGACAATACAAAAGAAAGAAGCAAAGAATGAACCAGCAACGTTGTGGCTATATTTTGGAGGATACTCTCGAGCTTGTCTAACAACATCAAGATTTTTATAGCGGCTGAAACGCTTTAAATGCTGCACTGACTTTTCAAATACCCTAAGAAAAAAGAAGAAGAAAAGAACATTATTATAAGGAAATAACAACAACCAGCAACATTGCTCCTCTTTCATCTAAACATCAGTGTCAAATTCACCACCTGAAAAAATATCAATTTAGATTGAGAAAGACACGTTCAAGAACATGTGATTTAATGTCAGTATTACTATAGCTGCAAACACAAAAACATACTCTTATTAAAGCAATTTCATCAAAATTTACAATCTCAGAGGTATTAAGCATAACAAATGCATGTCTTATTTCATGAATAAAAACTAATTTCTCTAAGGGAATAAAAATGTTATACACAAACATTATGTCAAAGTAACACGTGAAGTATGAACCTTGATAAAAGGGTTTGAACTCACTGAGAATCAATTATACTAAACTAAAAACATGTTCAATCAATCAAAAATAAGTAATAAGAATTGAATAACATATTATGTTCTAGGCAAAGGTATACTTATTGATATTACTTGTGTAAGGTATATTATGTTCTAGGCAAATCATTGCATAACACTAAGTATTTAAGGACATGAAATAAAAAAAATTCAACATACCAAACATGGGTGTTGTTAATTAGGTAGGCTGGGCTTGCAATTATGTGCATTACCTTCACAACAACTCTTGGTGTAAAACGAGAATGTGAATTGCTCTGTTGAAAGACCTGATAATCCACAAAGAAACATGTCATTTTCAAAGTTTCTTATTTCAAACAGGATTTGTATTGAGTTTATTTAAGATTCTCAGAATGCCCAAGACAACCAATAACAACCAACCCATCTAAGTCTAGCTCTGTAGCTTTGAGAACCATAGACAATCTTGAAAGGGCTTTTGAGAACAGGAGAGAAGAGAGAGTATGGAAGATACGAGTGTTTTTGGCTTCACTCTAATCAGAAGCGAAACATCCGATCAGTGAAGGAGGAGGAGCTAGCCGATAGGCCCATTTGCCTTATTTCCCAAAATGCCCTTGAACACACCCTTACCAAAGCCCTGGTATTTAAGTTTGATTTCTGCCTTATGTACAATATCCAGAAAATTCACATAAGCCACGTAGGTTGTGAACCTTGTTTTGTTGAACTTCTTAATTTTTTATTTATTTATGAATTATTATAAAGGTGTCTCTTCTAGTGATAATCCAATTCTTGAGAGGAAAAGTGTTGGAGGAACTTCTAGAGGTTGCCCAAAAGGTATTATTTTTACTTTTTAAAAAAATTAAATTTTATTAAAGTCAAGATTTCTGAAATTTTTTGTTATTCAAGGTACTAGAACCGTGGATGAAATTTATGATCTGATGGCTATTTCTTGAATGGTGGTTTAGTGGGAATTATAGTTCTAGTGTATAGTTAATTGGTGTATGAAGAGTTCTGTAGGGTTATTTTTCATGTGTTGTAAGAATACTATTATGAGAAGACTTGGCATATTATTATATTTTATAAATATGGCCATGTATGAAACTTTGCTAAAGACTTGGCATATTATAGAGCTTTATAAAAAACACTGTTATATCCTTTAAGAAACCTCTAATAGTCACCAACTTAATTGTCAGCATGTTTGTAGTGACCATATTTGGCATTGCACCTAAGTATCAAGCTATCGGCAATCATACAATCATCATCGGTCCACCAACAACATTGTTGTAAAAGTTTTGCTTCAAATTTGCATGCGTTAATTTGGAGTTGTGGATATGATATATTCGAGATAATTTATGCTAAAGAGGGAAGATTTAAAATTGTTAAAGGGACAACAAATAATATTAAAGTAAATTACGGTGATAATGAATTTGATATATATGAAGGAGATGTATAAAAATATTTTTGGAATGAGAATCTCACAATCATTTGAAAAAATACAACTCGGTGATAATGGTATTTCTGCACAATTTGACTATTGTACTTGAGTGAGTGAATCCTTTACAATTGCGATTGCTTTGAAATTTGAGGAGAATGTATTTTAAGGGAAAATTCAAAGTTACTAACTTCTGATATGCATGTCAGGAAATGTGGAAATCATAACATGGATGAGTAGGTGGAAGATTTGCAAATCAATGATGTAAAAGATAAAAATTTTGATATGGATGTTTGTCATATTTTACTTGATAAATAATATCACTTATCAAGGACGAGACACCATGATGATGTTTAAATGGGTCAAACATAAAATTTTTATGGCTCTAATTTTCCACTTTGATAAGAATCCATGAGAAAAGAAGTATAGTTTCTTGGTGATGACATAGAGTGAAAAAGAGTTTGATGAGTCTATTAAAGAAACTAAATCCTTATGTCCAAAGCTGACTAAAAGGGTGATGAGCGTTGTAAAGAAAAAAATAACAATCCCAGAAGAAGTGTTAGTGGTCTTAAAGGATTTCAAGGAGTTGACCCATAAAATTTTCCAACTGATTTGCCTCCTATGCAAGAAAAACGCATGGAAATTAAAGTTTTTAACATGGAAGAAGATGTGATGGTGTTTCTGCATAAGGAAATGTTTGCAGCTGGTATTTACAGTAAACTGCAACCAGATGAATCTCTTTATCAAGAATAGAACTTGGGGTCGAGCTCTTCAAACGTGAAGTAGAATGATGTAGGAAGGCTGCCTACGCGTATCAAAGAAAAAGCCACGCATTGGAATAGTTCGATAAGATTTACACAAGTTTGACGTTCGAAATCAGAATGACTCGTATTGTGCCTTTTTAAGCCATTCAAGTTCATTTCAGGCTCACAAACAACATTTTACTTTTTTCTACAATTTCAACAATTTTTGTTTTATTCGTTTTATTTGTTTAATTATGTTTTGGATTAAAGGACCATAATGTTCATTTGGGTTCTTTGTTTTTTGTATTTAAAGACCTTTGACGTGGCCATCATGATTAACTTTCATTATAATAAAACTCAAAGTTTTCTTTATCTGATGGATTTTAGAGCTTATCTGGCAGGTTTGTGTTTGCAATCCTGTGTTTTTATTCTTGGTTTAGCACTTGCTATTTTATAAGGTTTTAGACCGCGTCAAATATAAATATGATTAAAAGATAGAAAACTCTCATTTCTCTCTAAATATCTTCATCATGCAGACTTGTTTTGCATTGCCATATTCAACCCTCGTGCATCCAGTGCATATCCTTTTTCAATATATATTAAATCATGATTAAATATAAATGCATTTTTGTTCTTAAGCTAGAACATTCATTCAGGCAATCTCTATAAGCCAATACAATCATAAAAATCTCAGGCACACATAACGAGTTGGTATCTCAATTGTCTTCCACACGCTCACCTGTTTTCATCCTTTTCATATTAGGATCAATATCATATATAAACACTCTTATGTATTGCATTAAAGCATTTGGTTCTCTTTCCTTTCATTTCCTTGGCTATATCTTTCTTTTGGTTGTGGTTATTACTTTGGCTTTCCTCTATGGTTTTGAACAAATATCTCTTCTCTATATCCTTCACAAAGTTTCTTGAAGATGTTAGTCTTGAACAAATAGGGATTCATTTTTACAATATTGGAAAAGTTTATGAGATTTTTGTACCATTTAAAGGAAATAAGTTAGGTTCTAGATTCAGATTTACAAAGTATATGGAAATCAAAATTGTAAAGAAACTGCAAGTTAAACTCAATGAGATTTGGTTAGGAGTTACAAACATAGAATTCAAGTATCCTTGTCTTTCTAAATATTATTCTTCAAATAGACAGATGTCAAACACAATGTTGGGCACAATGTGTATGATAATATACTTATGCATCAGATAGAATAATAGAAAAATTAAATAACATAGTAATTTATAACCTAGTTCAGTGCAACATTACCTATTTCGAGGGGGCATTCAACGTAAGAAAGGAAATTCACTCTCAATAGTAAAAGTAAAAATAATATTAGATGAATAAACATTGTTCAATGCCTCTCTTCCTAATACTACAAGTAAATTTCTATTCAGGACTCCCTATAAAACTATTTCATTCTCAATAGTCAGAATGACAAATGGACTTACTCTGAACTATCCTAGTTCAAAGCCACTTTCCTAATACTATCCGTGAAGCTTTTTTCAGGCTCACCCTGAATAAGAGACCCCTCTAACTTTTACTCAAATACTCTCCATGTGTTTGAACAATTACACTATGATTGAAAAAATGAAACAATTGTGAGTGCAATATCCTCTCTTAGATGTTTTGAATGATGTCAAAACTAGGAAATATGTAGTATTTGTATATTAGACGATATCTCTCTATGTCTAGGTTGCATTTTCATCCTAGGACACTTAGCGATCGATTCAAATGCTTTTGGACATGTTAAGAACTTCAAAAATATGCATTTTTATGAAAAATTATGCTTGGAGTCGACTCATTCGTGATAGGAGCCGACTCCCACTGAATAAAATTTGAAAAGAAACTATCTGGTCCAAAGGAACCGACTCCCAACATCTTGGAGCCAATACAAAGCATAAAGGAGTCGACTCCCACGTGTATGTATCGAATCCTACTGAAGTTGTTTTTCAAAAAATACTTTCTATCCAAAAAGGGTCGGCTCCATTTCTCGTAGGAGTCGATTCTCTCTTCGTATAAGTCGACTCCCACTGATCCAAATGTCAAATTTTGTAATTTTGTAACCTAATTTTTTTTCTTTTCTTAAGTACACACACTCTCTCTCTCTATCACACACACACACACACACAATTATACAATTATACAAAGCATCGTTCATCATCTTCATCCTCTCTCTATGCATACACACAAAAAATTACACATAATCATTCTTTGTTGGGTGCAATCTAGAGACTGTTTGATAACGTCTAATTAGGATTCTGTGTAATCAATTGGGTTGAGAATATGTTTTTTTTGTAAATATCATAAAACTCCACTTTGTTGGTAAATACGTTTAGTTTGTGTATATTTTTGTTTTGTGTAATTAATGTATCGTTTGATAGTTTTTCATTCATTTTGTAGGTATTTGAGCATAGTTGGAGCATTGAGTAATAAAGGCCTAGGGAAAAGCTCAAGATGTAGTTTTGAACCAATAAAGGAATAAGGCAAAGAAAGAAAGCCATGGAAAAGAAATAAAGAGGTTATGTTCTATCAATAGCGCCGGGAGAAGCTGGGGTGAGGCCAAGAGTGAGATGAACGTCGGGCGAGCGTGAGGCGAGACAGGGGCGAGAAGAAAAGAGAAAAATATAGAAGCTACTTTATTGGCCTCGTGTGTTGGTCGTTGGGCGAATTAGGCCGTTATCGGGTGAGACTTCCTCTCGATGGGTGGTAGTAAATATTTTGTGCCAGTCTGTGTACGTGGCTTATGATGTGTGGGTGTAAAGTGGCCGCTCGTTGGGCGAGGCTTCTAAGCGTCAGGCGAGCGTGTTTGTTTCCAATTTTTTATAATTAAAATTTCATTTAATTTCTAGGGGATGTTTTGGGGTATTTGTTCCTAATTCATTAACATTCATTCTTTGTAGTTTAGAGCTTAGAAAATAACATTTATGGCTTATAATCAGATGATCAGGGTGTTGTACCCCAAAATTTGCCCTCCTTTTTCCCACAAGAAATCATAGCTTCGGGCTTTTCCTGATTTTTCAGACTGGCTCAAGAATCAGTCAAACAGACTTTTCTCGTCAGTCAGACAAAATTTAGGGTTTTCATGGCTCTGGAACAATTCAAGCAAACTGTTATGGTTTTGGTTGAGTTTGGCTCAGGTTTGATCAGACGGGCGCTTCTCTGACATTTAATCAAGAACTAGGGTTTGTGCGTGCGGAAAGAATTAATTTTACAGTGCTTTTCAATTTAATCTGAGATATGGAATGAGGCTGCTGATTGAGAATTTGCAGTGTTTGGATTTAATCAGTGGAAAAAAAAGGACATGTGGACGTTTGTTGTTTAGCTGTGCAATGCTTTGATTATTCAGAACGCCAGTTGTTTATTGATTATTTATTTGTTCTAAATTAGAATAGTTGGGATAAATTCC